AACCAGACTACTAGAGTCTCTGCTTCACGCGCCTGCCATTAGCATCGGTTCCATCTAGGACGCCATCATTTACCAGTTTGTTACTGGGGTGCTCACACACCCTGGCCACATTCTCCAGCACTTCAGTTACAATCCAGGGACAGCTTTCTTTCAAGTAATCAAACCCATCTGTCTCCATAACAGCTGCAAAACAGTATACATGCTGCAACATGAGTTCCCATCTTTGATAGAGACTATATATATATATATATATATATATATATATATATATATATATATATATATATATATATATATATATATATATAATACAGACACACGTTTGTTCAATACTGGGTTCTAAAAATATCCAGCTAGGATCCATAGGGCAGACGCTAATAGGAGCCTGTTTAGAGCAGGCTCTAGTTTTGGCTTATCGGCACCTCATAAACTGGCATTTACATTAAACAATAACTTGTATCACAGGACCGGCTGATTCATAATGAAACTAAGAGTGCAAGAGTTGTTTTTTTGTTGAAATGGTTAGGATTGATAATTTAAGGCTGTGTTTGGCATATGGTTGTTAGTTGTCAGCTGATGTTTGTGTCAGTTGTTGATAGTTGTTCAATAAAAAACTGTTTGGTAATATAAGTTGTTTATGTCAGCTGTTCAAAGTTTTGAAGGTAAAAAACTTTATTATAATGTTTTTTGAAATCCAGCTATTGGGTCTGAAAAATGTTCTAAAAATCTGCTCACCATACACATCTAAGAGCTGTTTGGAAGTTGGATTAATCATTAGACTAAAAAAAAGCTCTTTTCCAACAAAAAAACTCCTGAAAAAGTCATGTTCCAAACATGGCATGTGCTTGATCTTTAGACACTATTACTTTCCGTAAATTATTTAAAGAAATATACACTTTGTGTTTTTTTAATTGAAGAGATGCAACCAATTAAGCCACAACATTTGCAATTTCAGCTGAATAAACCACTTCAATCATTTTAAGCCTTACGAAATGTGCTCTATACAAATATAAACTAATGTTTTTATAAGTCTTCTGTATCATTAATCTATGAATATGTGCTAGCATGCCCACAGAAGTTCCATTAAGGTGAAACATACCTCTAAGGTTTCCATGCGATGCAATGAATTTGAGACACACCGACTTGAGAGTGAAACAACGATGCTGATCAGCTAAGGCCAATGTTGTCGCAACAGTATTGATGGCAACATGCTCACACAGATGGGCTTCACAAAGCACCCTAAGCCTGTCTAAACCATACCGATCAGATGCTGCAAGGAGATGCTGAGTCATCAAAGTTGAAGCCCTCTTGGAGTTCAAACCCGCAAGTTCTCCCAAATCAGGCAATGCATCCCAGTATATAAAATGCAGCAAAGCCTAAAAATATATGTGGAAAAAGATGCAACACCACGCATAAGAAACATATTCATAAAACAGGTTTAAAACTTTGTAAAGGTATAGGAAAATAATAAAATGAGAAACAGGTGGGGGGTCAGGGGGGAGCAAGAGAATAATAGGAGAAACAGTGGAGTAGCTAGATTAGCAAAAACACCAAGAGAAAAACTTAATGAAATATGAGAAACCTTAAAAACAGGGGCCTCCATGTCTTCAACTTTAATATTTGTCTCTTGATCCTTCATTGGACCAAACAGTTGTGCTCTAAACACAGGTGACCGAGCAGCCAGTACCAACTTGTGAGCTGCAAAAGTCTCTCCATTAACTTCAAGCTTTACATCAGTCCCCATTCCACTTTCCAGGAGCTGCCCGTAGTGCAACCCAATGTCTGACGGAGTCACTGATATAGAGCAGGTCTTAAGCCCCTCGGTATGTGACCTAACAACCCCAACACAGCAACGGATCTCAAGACAATCATCCTTCAGGTAGTCAGATGTTTCAAAAGAAGTTCTTCTGAAAAATTTTTTATATCCCCTGCAGCAATTTGCAATTAATAAAGTTTCATGTCGTCCCAAAACTGAGTTGGAATGGAACAGATTATGACACCATTAACAAGACACGCACTTCTAAACACACCAAAAAGAGGCAAAAACACATAAATCATTAGTAATCTGGAAAATGAAGACATTCAGTCCTCAAACATATTCCCAGTATATTCAACAATTACTCCATCTGTACCAAAATAAAAATATGAGCCCTCTTCCTAAATTTTTTCTTGTTTTGTTTAAAAAACAGTCCTACTTGTTGAAGAAGAACTAGTCTTTTCATGTAACTTCTGAGAGAAGGTTGAAAACAAAGTTAAAAAGTTTCAAGAAATAAATTTTAAAACACATGTGGTATCCTATGACTTTTAAGAGTTGTACCCTACCTAAATTTATCAGTTATTTGACCAAAAAGTGTTTTTTTGTGGGGGGGGGCATAGGGAGTTTTATTAAAACTTCAAAAAGATGATAGGCATAATGGTTCATTTGGAGGGAACAACAATGGTTTGTACCATCTCGGAAAACTACAAAACTAGAATGCATAGCCAAGTACAAAATGAAATAGACACTACACAGCATGACAGAATATATACTTCTAAAGAGGGAGGGGTACTCAGCATACTAAGAGAACCAGAAGGCAGTTAAATGTAGAAAGAAGAGTCATAATATATAAAACATCACACTCTGGCACAGGCTCACATGAAAAGCTACCCACTCTGGATAAAAATTTCATATTTCCACACATGTGAAACTGCAGGAAGAAGAAGAATTATAAATTTTCATCGAAGATTACCAAATTCTACATAAAAGCCTCTAGAAAATGAAACTAACCACATGCTTCCACGAGATTTGAGTGTGTAAGGGCCAGTATCCAAAGCCCTACCGAAATGGCTGTGAACTTTATGCATCTCCTTGCCGCTCTGATCAATAAGAGACAATTCAAAAAGTGCCCTTACTTCCACCCCCTCGCTCGCAAGGGCAATGAATAGAGAAACGTATGTAGTGTTATCCTCCGGGCTCTTCCCATCAGGGTAAAAATAGATAGCCCAAGAAATTCCGCCCACCGTGAACGTATCGGAGGCTATGTACTTCCCGATTCCCATCCCCTTCGTCAACGAATACCCAGTGATTTTAAAATCGTGCGCGCCGTTCACCGTCTCGGTTATAGACGTCGATGAAGATACTGGCGCCGGCGCGAGCCTGTCGATTTCAACCCTCCCCATGCTCCGAGATGATCGAACAATCAGAACTATCCACCCGAATTTGAGTTCAATTGAAGAAAAAAACGATCAATTAACAAGATCCACCGCAAAATTCAAACGAAATAGGAATCAGACAGCGTGAGAAATAGGGTTTATCTCTGAGCAAACGGGGCGAGTGGAGAAATCTAGGGTCGGATAACGGAAATTTATAGGCGGGCCCGGCCGGACCCTAAATTTCTACTGTTTCCGCGCGGAAAGAGACCTGAAGAAGACGAATACCTAACGAAGAAGACAATAAAGAAATAGAGGAGGAGGAAGTCTTAAAGGTGGGGGGACAAAAGAGAGAAAAATGATCGTCGATTTCGTGGGCCGATGATAAGGGTCCAATTATTATGAGATTGGCTAGTAGCTACGGACCTGTTTGGGAAGAGTGTTAGAGATTGGTGTTAGCGTTTTGGATAAAATTTTAATGGTGCAGAGTACTTTAAAAACGCTAACGCTAAATGCTGGCCGTCGATAGCATTTTCAAAACGCTAACGTTAATCTCTAACTCTATTCCCAAACACGTGTCCCGAAAAAAGTCCATAAACGAAGCTCCATCTTTTAAACATAGTACTCCCTCTGTCCCTAAATATTTGCCACACTTGTATTTTCGAGGTAAAATATCAAGTTCTTTCAATTCATTTTATTTACATATTGGTATAGAAATAAAAAATAAAATTTACATATCAAAAAAGTACATGAAAAGTTCTTCGAAATAAGCGGTGTCAAAAATATTTTATTTTATCAAATAACCAAGAAAAACCTAGAAATAAACAAAAGTTCCCGCAACTGCTGAAAAAGCAAACGTTGCAAATAATTTGAGACGGAGGGAGTAAAAGGTATCCCGCACCCTTGTCGTTGAGAGGAGGTAAATTATGGTATAATTTCAATCTATTTTTTAGAGAATTCAGCACGTGCTCTGTGCACACAAGAATTTATTACAAAGAATAGATTAATCTAAAGATACACCAAGATAGTGTACCCCAATATAAATTAGCTTATCAAAGACATACACAGACACGTCGTGCCTGTACTTGCACAAACACGACGCGTCTGTCTGTTTGTGTGCCTGATAGCTTGGTTTACATTTGGGGGCTTAGGGCACGTCATCTTGGTATACCCCTAGCATGACCATGGCTTGAGCTTAAACCTCGAGTCTGGTCCTAAAATATTATGACCGCCATTTATAAGGCCCAAGTCTGGTCCATATCCTAAAATGTCAAGCTCAAACCCGCTATTTTGCAGGCGGGCTGGATACCCATGCCCGTGATCAGATCTAGTGTTGGTATAAAAGTGTGATGTCTATAAAATAATGTACCAAAAGAAGAAATCACCTTAATAGGAGTAAAACATAAGACTCTGCGATACTGTATTTTTTGATCCTATATATTGACATTATTGTAAGGTAAGAATTTGTATTGTGATATTATGACTTTGCGACACTGTATTTTTTGATACTATATATTAACATTATTGATATTATACACATATTTTGGAGGTAAAAATATGCAATTTCTATTTTTATATTTTTTGGATGATAAAATTTTCCATGGACCTAAGATCCATATTAATATTTTCCACCTTAGTGTATTTGTAATATAAAATATGTGGACGTTTTACGAAAAAATATTCAGAATGAAAACGTCTACATCTTAAATGTACACTTTAGGAGTTAGACCATGTAAGCATAACATTTTTTAGATTTTTTTCTTAGTTTAATTTTCAGATTTTTTGTCCTAGTAACATTATTCTTTTTTTTTTAAATTTATAAATGAAGTTGAATGCATCAGTCTCGACGCGAAGTTAACATAAATGAGTGTGAGAAGTTTGAACCACAGTGGGAAAATTGAGGTGCAGATAAGCCCCAAGATTCCGATGATTTGACCCCTCCGTCCCCACTCGGCGGAGACGACAACAGCTGTGAGTATCAGAAGCCACAGACCCGCCCAGAGGGTTTGTCTTCTTTAATTCGATAAAGAAGAGAAAAAAAGAGAGGAAAAGAATGGCTGTTTGTGTCATGGCTTCTCGCGGCTTCTCTCCTTGGCTTCTTCTCCCCCACCATCTGGAGCAGGGCACTGCCAGGCTGCTGTATAAGGTATAAAGATTACATTTTTTTAAAAAATAAATAAATTTATATCCTTCAATTATCCATTGTTCTCTGATCGCTTATGATGGGTTGCGATTTCATCTCTATTGATGTTAAATGAACGCAATTGATTTAGATCACCGTTTGCTTGATTTTTGAGTCCCTGTGAAAACTAGTCAAACTTGGCTCTACAAATACTTGAATTCAGCATGGTTCGTTTCGACTTTCCAGCCAATGTTGTGAGATGATATGTAACACCCCGATCCCCACCTTGACCGGAAGTGTAGACTTGACCCCACAAACCAACACAAGCTTTTCTCGTGCAATTCGTCCTCACTCCCGGGGTTACCCATCCTAGAATTGCTGCAAGACCAGCACGCTTAAATTTGGAGTTTTTAGGTGACGGGCTCTCGAGATGTTATCTTGTCACTATGAGTAGTGCTATCAATCCTATTGAGCTCTTTTTTAATTTCGTGTTAACACAGGATATTACATGATGATGATGGTTAACTATGTGAAAGCTCCATATTACATGCTTTTTTCTAATGAGCCTATACTGGAAAGTTTATAGTAAAACTTCCCTACGTTCGTTAACAGTTGTACCATAACTTGGAGCATTGTTTAGGATATGTTTGCAATGTGTATATATTTTTTTGTTGTTGAAAGTATGAATAAATATTTTGAGTCAATGATGCTAACTGATATTGTTGTTCTTTTTGCCCCTTTTGTTAAAGGAGCACTTGCCTTTCATCCCCAGAGATGGAACAAACCTAGAGATGCTCAAGTCAAGTTCAGCTAACCTAAAGTTGCAGCAAAAAGAGGACATTTGGAAACCCATGAGCGCGTTATTGAATGCTAAAAAAGTAATGCAGATGAATGCACACACCTCGAGGCCTCTTCTAGTTGATGCTCAAGGTCCTAAGCTCTTATTGCTTCTATATCTTCACTTTTGTTTATTTAGAGCTTGTTCTCTTCACCTTATGTGATTGGTTCTAATTTGATTTGATTGCGTTTTGATTTGATTGTAGTTATATTTAAAGATATTTCTGATATAATTCCAGTAAGAATAAGTTATAAGTAAAAAGAATAAGTTGAAGAGAACATGCTCTTACTCACAATGTTCTCACGATATTTATGGAGTATGTTTTATGTGATTTGCCCTAAGTGTTGTTTTGATGAAAAAATTGCCTCACAACATATTCTTTTTAAAAAAACAAAGTATTTAATGCTAATCGTTTTGATTTTTAAAGTTTCTATGCAAAATTAATCTTTATAATTTGATGTAAGGGGTGATATGGTAATGTTTTTCTCCATTTAGTAATCTCTTAATGGGTGTTTTTTTTAATTTCAAAGTGACGAACCCAATGGAGTACTATTTTATATGGTTAACAGATGAATCTCATTCCGGCTCGGTGATCTTCAGCTTTTGCGTGAATGAACAGTGCATAAACTACGAACAGATTTGTAGATACATCGTATCTGGTTCAACTGAAATATTGGACCCACAAGCAATTGCTATTGGTATGCCTCAATGGCAAACTGCTTCTTGTCTTGCTAAGCCTCAGTCAGCTTTTATATACCCAAGCAGTTCATCCTCCCTTCATATTCCACCTTCAGATGTTGTGGGGGTCTTTGACCAAAGAATTAATCCTCTTTCTTTTGGTCAACTATCTCGGAGTGATATGAATCATATACTTTCTACTATGTCTGAGCATTACCAGTTTAAGAATTGGAATGCAGCCAACAGTCGAAAGCAGCCGATGCTGGTTCCCTATTTTGACAGGTATTTATGGCTAAATATATACGTTTGGTCTTCAATGTTCTTTTTCGCATGTTGTTCATAACTGTATGACACACTTATAATTCTCACAATAATAAAATTTACATAATATCAAACCACACTGGACCGGATCAGAAAAAACAGTCGATGTTCTGAAAAGCTCAAGGCACAAGGCAAGGCACATAACACGGACCAGAGCTTGAGAAGTGGTTCTTGCTTGATAAGCTTTGCATACATTCGTCCATAGTGAAAAATCATAATTAATATCCTGATTTTTTGAACAAAATATCTGGATTCTTTCTTCATGTCTTCATTGGGTATGTTTGGAGTTTGGACCGTGGGAAATGCTAGGCCGCTAGGGAAAGGAAAACATTTATAATGAAAGTTACTTTCTTTTGTTTGGGCATGCATTGGAAAACACAAAAAATAATAGAAATGTGATTAACAGTGTAAAAAGTTTCAATACGTTCATACTTTTTATTTTCATATAATAGAAAATGATAAATAAATTAGTTTTAGCAAATATCTAAAATGAACCTACGTTTATTTTCCCAACATTTTCTTTCCTTTTACTTCCCCTACCTATTTTCTTTCTCCATCATCATTTTTTTGAGTTTCAAATGGACCCTTGATGATCCCGTATCGGCTTTCACTCTCAATTCAGGAGGATGACCAGGGGAGCAAAGGTTAAATCTTCAGCTCAAGAACCTGAATCTGTGAAATCTGTTGCATCTCTAACAAGGTATGCAATCCACATATCCATCTTGCAGTCTTCTTCTCCAATTTATTTTAAATCTTTCGTAACAAGAATATTTTTCCCCTGTTCCTTATATATATTGCTCAATGTTTTGAAGTCCCGACAGATCAAAGGACAAAAAGTCTCTGAAAACGAAGAGGAACAAGAAACAACAAGTGAAAGAAAGAGATCTTTACAGAAACAACACTCTCCATGCGTTTGAAACCCTTCTTTCCATAATGGTGGACAAGCAGCGGCGTGGGACAATGGTCATCACTTCACTTATGGTATGTTTGGATCCCACAAATTGCCACGGAAAGGAAAATAATCATTAATCAAATATGGACAAGGAGTTGAAATATGACTAGTGTTTTCAAAGTTTTTTTTTAACTCTAATAACTCTATTACAAGGTAGTATATGTTCATACATTCTAAACGTAATAAAGCGTGTAGGGTTATTGCCCCCACATAACCTCTCACTTGGGAGAGTCATAGCGGCGGTGCCATTAGACTATAAGGTTATTGGATCAAAGTTTGATGTATATACTCCGCAATAGAATTGAGATGAACAAGTTACCTCCAATTTTCCACTACATACCTCTTTTTCTCCCTAACATTTTCCGGGTTCCAAACAGACCCTCAAGAAATCTGGCAATGATCTTCCCCGCCTTCTGACCCGCTTATCTGCTGCCATTGCCGGTACTGCCCTCGCCGTATTTCTGTCTAGCGTGTGCAAAGTAGCAGCCGGAAGAGGGGTTGCCATGTCAGCATCATCCGCATTCTTCAACACCGGGTTAGGCATGGGTCTTGTTTGGTTATCTTGGGGCGTGAACCGTTTAAGGGATACTGTGATCTCAATCACCAAAAGCTCAAGCAAATTGGGTATGAGAGAAGGGGAGGTGTTGGGCAAACTGGACAAAGATGTAAAACAAATTTACTTGAGAGCTGTTGCATTAATGGCTGTTGTAGTGCTGAGGTTTGTTTGATACCATATATTGAGTTGTGGATGAAAAGAACTGTGTAGCAAGTTATATTAGCCAATTGGCTTTTTGAACATTTGTTTTGTTGTAAATCAACACCCATTTCGTGTAAGTACTAGGTTTTTTTATTTACTTTTGGAGGAAAAAAATTCCAAAAGTAGAAACTTGGGAAAAATAAAAATAATGTAATATTACAATGGAATGAATATATTTATACGAACTCATGTAATTTGCCAATTCCTAAATGGGTATTCTTTCAGTTATACGGATATTTGGTATAATTTTCACCTGAATATTTTAGTAAAACATTAATCATCCTAATTAAATTTCAACACAAAATCAACGTGATACTCACCAAAAGCTTACATGATTAATTTTAATTGTGTGGTTCATATTGGATAAACTTTTAGACTTTGGTTTGTAATTTAGGGAGTATTTCTTTGTGCTTGTGCTTATTGGTTTATTGCTCGCAAGTAATTTTCAATTTATAAATTGTTTATAAGTCAAATATTCTTTTATAGAAGTAAAATGACTTAAATGATACACAAGTCATTTGTAAATTATTCATAAATGGTGAGAAACAATTCTGTAAATAATCTAGTCAAAAAGGAAGAATGAAAAAATTGATTTAAAAATAAGTAGCTAAGACCTACTTATTTTTTCTGACTGATAAGCAGTTTATAAATACATAGAAACATGTCATTAACAGAAATATAAGTTAAAACAGCTTATAAACACATAGAAACATCCACTTAATGTAAATACAATGATGTCTTAATATACAATTTGCACATGTGTGTTGTGCTTATGTCTTATTTTTTTTTAATCCGGTACATTTATGTCTAATTTTATTTGTACTATTGTGTTTATGGTTATTTGTGTTTGAGTCAGGATCTCTTAAAAACCTCTAGCATGTTTCGAGTAGGTATAAAATGTACACACTATCCAAAATTCCAAATTCTACTTTTTGTTAAATCATACCAAGTTTGTTGTAATGATGTGATCCATATTACTCCGAACCTCTTTTCTGCATTAATTTCAACAGATATATTTCACAATTTTTAATAATTATTTCAGATCAAATATGAAAACTTATTTCCACATACATTACATATGTGAAGAGTTAACACGCAAATCATAATGGTACATAAGGGATCACTCTATTCAAATTTCAGAAAGCTTGAACAAAAGTTAATAAACCCAAAACACTGAAAGAAAAGTTGTACTTATTCACCGATGAAGCGTAGTAAATACTTAAGAATTTGCTACTTCAAGACCTATAGTAAAATGCTAAAAGAAATGAAGAAAAAAAATAATCTTCAGTATCATGAATTTCACATCATGAGAATTGCCTTGCACATAATCAAGAGCTAGATGAGAGTACAATGTTAACCAACAAAGGATTCCAATTGTACTCTTGAATATTTCTTAGCTCCATCCTCTTCGGAAAAGACAAAAAAAGGATAGGGAATCCAGAACTCTAATGGCATGTGCACCTCAGCTTATAACTTTTGAAACAACCCCTGCACCAACAGTCCTACCACCTTCCCTCAAGGCGAATCGTTGTCCTTCAAAATGAAAAACATACGGTCAAAAGCTTGTCGTATTATTACTATGAAACAAAGTAAATCGACAATGACTTGAAGCCCACTTGTGCTGGGGCTTTGCAACAATTTTTAACTACGAGTGTTTGTGGTCAGTTTCTGGTTTTGTAAAATGCAAAACTGAGATTGGTTTTAGTTTGGTTGGATTTTGTAGTAACGTTTGGAGGTCAGCTTTGGTTGGTTTCAGACAGCCTGGGTTTGTTTTCAAAGCCTAAACCTTGAACCGCAAAGGCACAAACTGAACAGCCTAGTCAGTTTGGGTTCGATTTGGTTTGCCATTTCGCAAGACCTACTTTAAGACCACAAACTATTGTACAGAACTTCAGCCATTGTTAAGTACCTTTATCCAGTGGAACGGGAGAGATCAACTCAAAAGTAGCAGTCACATTATCCCCGGGCATGACCATCTTTACATCTTCGGGCAATTCCACTTTACCCGTGATATCAGCAGTCCTTAGGTAGAACTGCGGCCTATAGTTTGAAAAGAATGCGGTGTGGCGACCACCCTCATCCTTAGTAAGTACATAAATCTCTGCTTCAAACTTCTTATATGTTTTCACTGTTCCTGGCTTTGCAATCACCTGATAGATTGAAACACAGCAACTTAAAGAAACATTGGATTTTTTTTTTGAAAAACACTGCAATGTTAACTTAGATAAATAAAAATGTAACTGACCATTCCTCGTTGAATATCATCACGTTTCAAACCACGCAACAAAAGACCAACATTGTCACCGGCCTAAAATTATAAGAAACAAATTTGCAATGATTTTCCGCATGCAGATTTTTAGACCTATAACATAGATGAATCATCAGTTACTTACCTGTCCATTATCCAAGATCTTTTTGAACATTTCAACTCCAGTTACTGTACTTTTCAAGTTTCCCTACACCAAAAGGATCAACACAATGTGTCACAAGTCATAATAGCAGTTGGGTAATCTAAAAATTCAATTTAAGAGCATACATAGCATTCATGGGAATCATGGGATAAAGAGAACAGCTTAAACCCCATCCTTATAAAAACTTTAGTAATATAAGCAACATTTTAATGACCTACAGAGTAGTTATCAAACTAACGACCTCTCACCTGCATCAGCCCCAAGATCTCCACATCTTCTCCCACTTTAATAGTTCCTTGTTCAATACGGCCAGTAGCCACAGTTCCACGTCCCTTCACAATTGCAACACACACAAACAAATGTAGGCTTAATAATTACTCTGTACCAGATAAAGCATGTGTTTGCCTTACTGTTAACGATACTGCCAAGGTATGTATACAACACTGAAACTGAATAAAGGCTACTTAGGAAGAGATTACAAACCAGTTGACAGATTATTTTATTACCTGAATGGAGAAAACATCTTCAATTGGCATCAAAAATGGCTTATCAAGTTGACGAACAGGATCAGGAATATATTCATCTACAGCATCCATTAACTTCAGAATGGCCTTCCTTCCTATTTCATCATTTGTACCTTGCAAAGCTGACAAGGCAGAACCTCGAATAATGGGGATGTCATCCCCAGGAAACTTGTAAAAGTTAAGCAACTCTACAAGATTATTATAAAAAATATAGTTAGAAGGCTCATGTTTCACCAATGCATAAAAACATGTGTTGCAATATAGTTCAAAACGTTTAAACTTCCATCTTACCACGGAGTTCCATTTCCACAAGTTCAAGTAGCTCTTCATCGTCAACAGCGTCAACTTTGTTCAAAAAGCAGACAAGTGATGGGACACCAACCTGTATCACATAGAAAGAAGGTTTTGTAATAGCCAGATGATGTTTTGGGCATCCCGTCCACAAGTAGATATATCACCTGACGTGCAAGCAAAATGTGCTCTTTTGTTTGTGGCATAGGTCCATCCGGCGCTGATACAACAAGAATGCCCCCATCCATTTGTGCAGCTCCAGTAATCATGTTCTAGAAATAAATAACAGATATCTTTTAGAAAATGATACATCAGTTAGATTTTAAATAACTACGAATAATAAGATATGAAACCCAAGATATTCAAGAGAAGAACTTTTTACTGTATGATTGTATGCAAGTTATACTCATATAATTCCCTATACATATAAAGTATAAACTAGAGTCAAAGTGCCAATGGCTCAATTATGATGTTCTTGTTTCTAGAATATAGACGACATTGAATTTGTTTTTACATATGCACGTTACATAGGAGTGACCACATTTAATTTTTAGTGTATATTGCAAAAAAAAGAAGAAAGAAAATTAGATTTTTCAGACATTCCCACCTTAACATAATCAGCATGACCAGGACAGTCTACATGAGCATAGTGCCTTTTGGCAGTCTCATATTCGACATGCGCCTGCAACAAAAAAAAGAGTAAACATAGATAAGCTAAGAATGTTAGATAAGATTATATAATGTTAACTGAGAAGTGAACGAAGAGCCAACCGTTGCAATTGTAATTCCTCTTTTCTTCTCTTCAGGAGCTTTATCAATTTCATCAAATGCAACAGCTTTAGCCTTTCCCTCATCAGCTAGGACCTAGACAGCCGTGGAAAATTGTCTCATAGCAAAATCTTAAAGAATAAGTAAGATCTTAATAGAGCACGCAAGAGACCTTTGTGATCGCAGCTGTAAGGGTAGTCTTTCCATGATCGACATGCCCAATTGTTCCCACATTAACATGAGGTTTTCTGCATCACCAAATAGAAAGACCTAACTCAACTGGCCAAAATTAAATTCACCTTCTTCCTTCCCAATTAGAACACAGCACAATACAAAACCGTCTTAATACGATTCAATTGACAGGAACCAAAGGCTCAGATATCAAACAGGATCAACATATAAGCAATCAATTAAAACATCGCGATTAAACCAGATTTAAACAGAAAATGAACACGCATTGAAGTGTGCCGGCAGTGAGTGCGGCGAAAGAGGAAAGCAGAGCTCACGTTCGAGTAAAAGTGGCCATGGATCTCCACCACGGATTGGAAAATGAAGGAATCTCGCTGTGAGGCGCGGATTCGGAGAGCGAGAGCTGAGCGGAAACCGATCCCCGGCAGCAGGAGTAGATTTGAGGAGACAGAGAGAGGATGCGCTTCGAGCCATGGTTTCTGAAGGCAACCGACGCCATGGATATTGCGAGCTGAGAAATGCGAGTGGAGGGAGGAGATTTCAGAGGTTTATACGTCTCCGGCTATGGAATTCGAGGGTTTTAGGATCATCACAGTGGTGTGAAGGAGTGAGTCTCGGGACGACGGCGTTCAGAATGAGTTCGTTTGTATGGGCTGGGCCTCTTGGTACTATTTTTCCGTTTGAAAAGCCCATCATGTTTTTTTTGTAAAAGCTTTTTTTTACGGTTGTAAATTACACTTTGTTCTCTTCAATTTAAAATCCGTTGTCGTCAATTTATTTTAATTACTAACTTTGAGTTACTTAATTTTATCAGATCAGATTATATCAAAATTAGATAAAATTAGATCAAGTCATATCATAATATCAAATGAAGAAAACAAGTTATTGTTCTTATTCTGCATTACTTTTAAGCCCGTGTTACATTTACTCCATCTCATACCATGATTCCATTTTAAAACGACCATTATTTATATTTATTACACTTATATTAACATCAACTAGTATTTTAACCTGTGTCATGCACGTGGTGAAGCAAATTCTTTTTATTTTATAGTTTTTCTTTGCTACAATATTTTTTTAAAAAAATTGAACAAATAAAATATCGATCTTGAAAGTTAAAAAAATGATTAAACATATAACATTTGTTAATGGAAACACTACTATACATATTTGAAAATTAATAAGACAAAGTCTTATTTATAAATTAGAATCTTTTGAAAGTTTTTGAAGTATACAATATTTTTTGTTATGTTATAAAGACTACCAAAGACATATAAATTTAATACTTCCAATTATTCTTTTACTCTCGCTTGTGAAACTAACAATATAAAATTAGTTGTAAGTAAATACTAAGTTGGTAATAAAAATCTTATAAATGTCAATATTGGTCTTGATTTTTATTTATAATCATAGCAATACATAAACTAATAGAAATTATATTAGAGAAATTTACCTAAATAGGACTAAAACATAATGACTTTTCCAATATAGGATCATATGTTTTTATTTCCCAATCTAGGACCTTTGGTCATTATCAAGTAGTCATTATTCAACTAAATGTTCATGATTACAGGACATTATTCTTTCCATTAGATTATTATTAAGTCATATTTAGGGAATAAAAAAATTTAAGTTTTACATTAGGAAAATTATTATGTTTTAGTCCTATTTAGTACAAATTTCACATTATATTATTTGAAACCTCAAATTTCACTTTATTTCTTAATAAAAATGAATCTTCGCGCAACTCAAATTATGGTAAATTCAATGAGTAAGTATGTTATTATTGTATTTATTAGATTGTAAAAAAAGAAATCGTATATCCTAAATTATTAGGTGAAATTTGCACTAAATAGGACTAAAATATAATGACTTTCCTAATGTAGGACTTAAACTTTTTTATTACCTAAATAGGACTTAATAATGACCTTGTGGGAGGAATAATGTCCAGTAATGATAGATATGATAGATATTTACTTGAATAATAACTACTTGATAATGACCAAAAGTCCGAGAAATAAAAACATATAGTCTTACATTGGGAAAGTCATTATGTTGGACATTGAAATTACTCAATTATTAATCCTCTTGGGTAATCTGGTCGAGTTCCCGTTAGATCATGTAGTCCGAGTCCACCCATCGCATCTTTGTTTCCTTGTTCCTGTTCTTCACTCTTGGCACCTATACCAGCGTCTCGCCGTCTCCAATCTCCAAAAAACAATTTATCATGGGCTTGATTTTTTCGCAATTTTGATTTTGATTTCCACACACACCCGGTAATTTCCCGAAAAACCCAATCTTTATCCCTTTCATCGCACCTCCTTTTCGCCCACAGGAATCAGACACACTCCCCATATGTTGTTTAAGTTTTCTTGGATTTAACACCAGGGGGCTTTCGAACATATTTTTTTGTGTTATATCTTGCAGATAGTTTTTCAAACTTGATTTTTTTTTTGTTTTTGTTTTGATTTCTTGACCTGAGGTTTGGGATTTTTGTTTGATCTTTGGTAAAAAGATGTCTCATTGGGGTGGAGTGACATGCTGTTTGAGTGCAGCTGCCCTTTATCTGCTTGGGAGAAGCACTGGAAGGTCTGATCAGTTTACCTTATTTTTTTGTTTAGAGCAATTCGTTAAAGTTATTAATTCATCCGTGTATAATTATATGAAACTGTGCAGGGATGCAGAGGCTTTGAAATCCGCTTCTAGGGTCAATCATTTGAAGGATTTGGGTACGCAGAGAGTTTCAGTTATTTATGAAAGGCTTCAAGTTTTTGCTATTTACAGATTTGTTGATAGAGTTAGTCTTGCATTGTAGAAACCATAAAGTTAATGCTCCCTTTGTTCCACAATGAAGTTTATACTTTCATTTTATGTCCGTCCTGAAATAAGCTTTACCTTTCTTTCATTTTAACAGCTTTCGACCACACTTTTCACATGTCGACACTTTTCTTAAACTTTGTGAAATTAGAGTGTAAAGCTCATTGCAGGATGCCATTTATCAAATTAAACCTGCTAGTATCCGATTATCTGGACTCATAGGAGAAATATGGATGAAAAAACTTGGGGAAAACAAACGATAAATTCATTCTTAATTGAGCAATTTTAAATAATTGTACAATCTCATTTAATTTACATATTTTTACTTTATAAAAAATTAAGAATTCTTTGGCCTCACGGAGTGCATATTGAGACGAACTAAAACTGAAAGTATAAATTTGCGTGGGGCGGGCGGTTTCAGATTTTTCATACTTTACCATTTTCAGCATTCCAAACATAGCCTAGCCTGCCATTTTCAGCATTCCAAACATAGCCTAGCCTGCGAGTTCCAGATTTTTCATATGTAGAAAATTAGCTATTCTTACAGTATAATCAAAATCTAAGGTCCTAAGAATTCTAAATGTATTAACATTCAGTTATTGTTTCTGTTGCATATTCTTTTTAGCGCAATTGTTTGATACCGCTTCAAAGGTATTGCCTTTGGTTGTCACAATCTCTGGAAGAGTTGGTTCAGATACACCAATCAGCTGCAAGAGTGGCTTACGTGGAGTAGTTGTCGAAGAAACAGTACAAAAACTATTACTCTGTATTGTTTTCAAAGTGATTATTTTTTATTTTTTTGAGTTGGTGATTGTGCTGGATGTAATTAATTACATTTGATATTTATTGCAGGCTGAGCGGCAGTTTCTGAAACACAATGATGCTGGCTCATGGATACAGGATTCTGCCTTAATGCTTTCAACATGTAACGAAGTTCCATGGTATTTGGTGAGGTCTTAATACTGTGTATGTTGGAAACTTGGAAAATGATAAGAAGGACATAGGGAGGAAAATAGAGGGTTGGGGGGGGGGGCAATTGGTTCAAACTCAATAAATCAATTTTAGGTATTCATATACTGTATTTCTACTCCGTATTTTAGAAGTACTCCGTACTAAAGAAACCATTGCTAACGGAGCAAAAAGAGTCATTCTTGACAATGTTGTTGTTGTTGCATAAATACTAATCATATCTAAATTTCAAAAGGTTTTATAATGATGAGTTTCTTTTGTATGTTCTAAGGTAAAGGCAAACATAAACAACCTGTGTATCTACTATTGTATGCTTTCTAGACACAGCCTTAATAATTTGTGCTGCATTTATTTAGAGAGAGACCATTTTCTAAGGAACGCAGTTCATTTTCTAAGGTGTATGTTTTGTGAATAGGATGATGGCACGGGTCGGGCTTTTATAGTTGGGGCCCAAGGGGCCAAAGGTTTGGTATTGACTGTTGCCAGTGAAGTGTTTGAAGAAGCAGGGCGATCAATTGGACGGGGGATGTTTGATTATCTTCAAGGTCTTAAGGTGTGTTGTTCATTCCATTCCTATCAGATTAGTGTAACTGATTGACCCTAAAAATGCTTCTATTGAAGATGCTTGGAGTGAGGAGAGTTGAACGGGTCCTTCCAGTTGGCACACCCTTGACAGTTGTTGGCGAGGTATGTTAAATGTTTAACCTAATATGCCATCGTATAACATTTCGGCTAAGCTCTCCAAATCATTTCATTCCGCACCCCCACCGAACCTCTCCTCCAAATACACTCTTAGTAACTTAAAAGCAATATTGCCTTAAGACACTAGGTTTGTGGTATGGTGTTTTCCATGTTTGAAATTCTCTTTTGCTCTCATCAGGCGGTTAAGGATGATATAGGGACAATTCGGATCCAACGGCCCAGTAAAGGCCCATTTTATGTTTCTCATAAAACAATTGACCAGCTCGTGAATAATCTTGGGAGATGGGCAAGGTAAAACATGGGTTGAATTTGACTAACACTCACTACTTGCAAATGTATTCGACAAGCATTTTTATTTTATTTTTCAGGTGGTACAAGTGTGCTTCGATGGGATTTACGGCCTTTGGTGTTTTCCTTCTTGTAAAACACGCTTTCCAGTACATTATGGAAAGAAGACGCCGTTCAGAAATGCGCAAGAGGTATGATCCATGGGTTTTGAAAGATTTCCAGGAATTGGGTGGCGATTTCATGTCAATCCAAACACGAACTTAATTCAAATCACATTTATTACTTCATTGGGCCTTAGTTTGTGGTTTATGCTTGTGCATTTTTTACCCTAGTCTGTAGGGTAAGGGTAAGGACCAGTGGACTACGTACACACACTCTCCACAGACCCTACGTCTTGTGGGATTTTACTTCGTTTCTGACTAGGACAAACGGTTGATCTGCTCTCGGTTTATCTTGTAGGGTTCTTGCTGCTGTAGCTAAGAAATCTGGAAAAGAGAATGAAGGTATACTGTTGGTTGGATTTTTTCCAACCATTTTATTGTTCCTAAACCGTTCACTCTTTCAAAAGGTACTTAATATGGTTCTTCGCTTATGTTTGCATGTGCAAAAGAGGAAAATGGATCTGACAGTAGAAAAGATGGGATGACGCCGGATTTATGCGTGATTTGTTTGGCACAGGAATACAACGCAGTTTTTCTTGAGTAAGGCTCTCACTTGAATTTAAGCAGAAATCCTCGAAACTTCTAATTCCTTCATCTTAAAACATCTGACACTATGTTTGGTTCAAGGAATTTGAAAGTTAAAGAAAATGAAGTGGAAAACAGTATTTTTTTTGTTTGATTAGAAAGGAAACGAAAGGAAAAGTGGAAGGAAAAGAAAATGAGAAGGCAATATGTACTAAGAGGAGAGAAAACCAAATTCCTCCCATTCATTTTGATGAGAAAAATGAGAAAATCGTTTTCTTTTCTTTTCCTTCCAAATTCCTTGAACCATACATAGTGTTAATATATATTTAAGCAGAAATCCCCGAAACTTCTAATTGGCAGCGATAGGTTATCATTCAAGTGTTTTTAGGAGTGATTTGTCTTACCTGAATTTGGACAAGAATGTGGCTATAGATCGAAGGACCACGCTATGCTACAGTCACATCATGAATAACACCAAGGCTGACACCGCCAGTGCTTTACGGAAAATAATTTCTCACAGACAATGATAGTCTGTGTGCAACTGGTGGTGTCAACATTGGTGTCATCCTTGAGGTTAAAGTAACATTTTCTTAGATAATAATGAATGGGAGAGCACATCTCTATAGATGATTGAACCTGAATCACCATTTTGAGATAAAGGGTATTTTGGGAATTGGGATTCAAGCTATATAACACCATCTAATTCATTGGCATTTGGATTCAGTTGTGGGCATATGTGCTGTTGCTTGGGATGCTCTTCACACTTGTCACAGTGCCCTCTCTGCCGCAGACGGATTGAAAAGGTCGTCCGCGCCTTCCGCCACTAAACACTGCACCATTTTAGTTTTCTTTTCCAGTGTTTGCTCTAAGTTTCGCATCTGAGGGTAACAAGAAAATGCAGTGGTGCGACAAAGACGTGAGGGCCAAACGGTACTTTTTCATTAACCTATCTTGGTGCTGAAAGTCATGAGCTGTAAATAGCATTAGCCTGTGCCATGCATGGTTCAGACACTCAATGTGATTTTTGAATCAATTTGAACTCAGTTGAATCCTTTCTTTGGCTCTTATTAACAACATTTTCCTATGTTTTACACATTGCTTTCAAGTGTTATTGATATTGAAACCAGTCATTCAAATGGAGACTACTCATATATGAGAACATTTTAACATCTATATAGTACATTAAACAAACTGTACACAGAATTGGAATAAATTTTTTAAACTATATATATATATATATATATATACATATATATATATATATATATATATATATATACATATATATATATATATCACTCTTCAAAGGAATGTTTTGAAGAGCGACAAAGGTCGTAAGGAGCCCACAAATGATCAACATTGCATGGGCTCCCGGAATCCAACCTTAACCAGGGTTTACCCTTTCCGCTCCAATGGAGCAAGCTGATGGGACCAGGGTGCAGTCTCCTGCATTTCCCTTCAATGTTGTCCCCACCCAACCCATGTTGGTTCCATCTGTGGTCAACCGGCATTATGTTCCCGGCGAAGACAAGCAAGAACGGCGGCAAGGAGCCGAGGTGGTAAATCCTCTTTTGCTTTTGCACCGCCATCCACCCCTCCACCCTCTCCGTGTAGCCCCCCCGCCTCCACTTCTCCACGTCCACCACCATCACCCCCGTGTTGAAGTAACACGGTTTCCACGCCAGTCCTGAGGACGACGGGGGGTGTTTCCCGCCTTCGAATGTGTTGACTAGTTTTGGGTCTGACCAGAACGCGTCCGTGAAATAGACAGTGAAGTTTGCATGGCAGTATTCAGGCGCCGCAAGCACCCTGTCGGCATTGTCCACCTCCCAGAGCTTCATGATGTCATCGACCACGACGAGGTCGGAGTCGAGGTAGATGACGCGCTTGACATCTGTCGGGAGAATGTCTGCCAGGTATACTCTGGCGTAATTCAGAGGCTGGTCCAGCGCCTGCCGGATGGACTTGGAGATGAGGCCCTGGACCCTGGTGGTGTCGAAGAGGTATATGTCAAACCTCAAGTACGGAAAGGTGGAGTTGATGGCGGAGAAGACCTCGGGCTGCTGGCGGGCCCAAAGGAAATGGAAGGCCGCGTTTTCAGGGCACGTGGAGTGCTGCAGGATTGAAAACACGGCCGCCATCGTGCCCCTGATGTAATTAACATCAAGGGTCATCGCGATGTGGATGAGTTCCTTGCCGCACGCGTCGCCATTGCGGAAAGCCGGGGCTTCGCGGAAGGAGAGGACGGCGGCGGAGGCGATCAAGGGGGTCGGGTGGGCAAGAAAGAGAGACAGGAGGCCGGAGAGGGGAAGAAGAATGGAGGGAAAGATCCAAATGGCGGCCATCCTGCTGCTCTAAGCTGCATTTTAGAATGGCAAGTTTTGGAAGAAGGAGGAGCAGCCATTGAAGGCTGGTTAAGAGAAGGTTCAGGAGATGATGCCGGTTACAAATCATTGATAATTAATAATGGTTACGAGAGTTAGGAAGGAGAGTGGCTGGTAGCATTATGTGGGGGAGATTAATCTTCGGGTAAATAAAATTTAACCATCGGTTAAATAAAAATTATGTTACTAGTACATGTCAATAAATTGGGATATATGTTATACCCCGGAGTACTAGGCATTACATTATATTATTACTGAGTATTATTATTATTATTATTATTATTATTATTATTATTATTATTATTATTTTCAGAAATTTTTTATTACGACGGATTAAAGCCTTGTTTTTTTTTGAGATGGCTTTGTCTCTTGAACTGAATCGGAAAAAGCCATTAATAATCAATGAAATATGTTTACGGTTGCCATTAAAAAAATTAAATTGCGGTTCTTTTTGCCATAATTTCTAAAATCTAGTGTCTCATAATTATAGACTTAAAATCTGGACTCTCTAAACTTGTGATGCATTAATAAGTGTATATTCTTTTCGTCTGATCTGATTAGTTATGATCTGAATTTACTAAGTTTTTATTTGATCAAGTCTCATTCGATTTGATTTGAATGTAGTGTAATGTAAAGCTTTGGCATGGGGTGTTCTTATTTGAATATATTGTTCTAAACTTATATGATCTTATTCAAATAATAATAAGTAATTAAAAAAATTAAGATGAAGAGAGGATGTTCTAATTCAGCCCGGTTCTACAATAACATTTTTTTTATCATTCTAACCTTTCTGGTAAATTCTTTCACCCAATCTCGACCCTAATTTATGGCCCACCCACATCAATTCTGGGATGTTTGAAGTCAATTTTTTTGAGCACAATATGACACGAAGCTATGGTGATCGGTCCAAGTGGAGGGTGGATCAGGATGGACCCATAGTGATTCCCCAAGAGAACTAAACTATATAATTACACTACCTCCTCCATAAAATATTATTACAGTTTGACTTTTTTGGTTAAATCATGACTTCTTTTGACCGTAAAATTATGAAAAAAATAGATTCATTTTTTATAGAAATTTATTAAGATTGAGTTTATTTTAAAATATAGTTTTGAAATATCAACTTTTTATTATTTTATTTATTTTAAACTATATTTAATTCGTGATCAAGAGGTGTCATGGTTTGACCAAAAAAGTCAAATTGTGACAATCTTTTAGAGACGGAGTGAGGGAGTATATGATTTGATCCGTTATAAAGAAAATAAGGAGTGATATAATGTTAAATCTATTGAAAAGAATTGGTATCAATTCAATATATGATTTGTCATGTAGCAAGCTTTAGTGTGATGGAATGTCATGTTATTAGATATACATTTAATTTAAAGGTACCTCCTCCAAATACCAAGTATATATAATATATATTGTGGCCATTTGAAGATTTGAAGGAGACAGTGCCAGCTATGCATATTATATATGCATGCAACTTGATCTTGTTGTTTGATGTTTTGTTACATGAGTTATTGAATGAACATTATTTCCATGAATTTGCAGTCATAAGGTCAAATCTTTTATCTGAAGATTCATCCATTACCAGTGTGTGTTTAGCAATAAGCTAAGTAGTTTATACATAAAAGGAATTTGAACTATAAGCACATATGAGTGCACGTTAGCATGGTTAGTCATTAAATTAAACTAATACCAGACTATATGAAAGGAATTTTCTAATAGAGTAGATTTAATTAATTTGATCTGGTTAATATTGAATCTATGCCTATAACCAACTAATTAACAGTATTGGCGATATTCTTATATCACAATTGTATGCTTGTTATTTTCAGTGGGGTTCCCATGACATTGGAACCTCATGTCATGGGATGATTCGGGGGCGCTTCGTTACTCCGTTTGTAAAATTGACGGTTCCTATCCCTCCTAAGCCTTCTGTAAATCCCCCATCCCGTCCTGATCCATACACACTCCCTCACCCCCTTCAATTGCACCCACAAGTTAATTTTGACTTTAGAGTCAATTAACTTGTGGGGTGCAACTGAAGGGGGTGGAGGAGTGTGTTCGGATTGAAGCGGGGCGGGGGGTTTACCGGAGAATTAAGAGGGTAGGAACTGTTAATTTTACGAGCGGGTCATCCCATGACATTGCCGGACAATGTCATGGGAACTGTCTCCATTATTTATGGTATATCAATAAGAAATAAAAATTACGTATTAAAAAATTATGTAAAAAATTTTGCAAAACAAAAGATGATAAAAATATTTTTTTAATTAAAATAGTCTATAAAAACACAAATATAAACAAAAATTACCCAAACAAATTGTAATGTTATTCGACAAGAGAGACTAGAAAACAATGTGTTTTGGCCAAAAGAAATCAGCAATGTGTTTTTGAGTGTTTTTCTTAACGTAGGAAAGTCTCTCTCTTTCTTTGCATTACCCCACGAATCAAAAAATAAAAAACCTCTGCCCCACTGTCTTTCGAAGTCAATTTCAAAACTCGGAAGTACTCCGTATATAAACGAATCAGAGCTGATCAAAATGCCGAAACTATAATAACCCAAGAAGATCTCGTGGATTCCAGGAAGGAGACGACAATGGAAGTCATCATTCAGCTGCAGAACCAATTTGTAGGGTTCATGAATTCCCTCTATAGCGAGGTCTGTAACACTTTCGACTCTGAAAACGTGTTTTCAAGATTCTTTTTTGTTTTTTAATAATTGAAATCACAAAACTTTTCATCAGTTCAGATGTATGGGTTCCTTTGTTGAATGATTTCTGACGATGGGTTCGTGAAAAAAATTAGGGCTTTTTGGATGACCAGTTCCTGCAGCTCCAGAAATTGCAAGATGAGACCAACCCAGACTTTGTGGTCGAAGTCGTCTCACTTTTCTTTAAAGATTCTGAGATACTCCTGCAGAAAATGGCCAATTGCTTGTCAGATTTGTTCAATCCCCTTTAATTTTTTCTAAAAAAAAGAACAAATATTTTGTCTTTTTTTTTAAAAAAGTTTTTGCCTTTCTTAAAATGGAGTACTTGTTTTTTTTCGGCAGCCAACAACAGTTTGTAGATTTTGAACAGGTTGATGCCCATGTCCACCAGCTCAAAGGTAGCAGTTCCAGGTACTATTTGGTGCAACCTGCACTTATAAAGCTTTTAGATTGTTGTATTAGGTTCTTGTGTCAGCAGTTTTGTTATATGTTTGGATCAAATGGTTGATTTGCCAGTTCATAAGAAATAAAGTGTTTGGGAAGGTGAGTTGTTTGTGTGAGTGTAGGTTTTCATTTGCCCTTGGGTGTGCTGTTCGGCCCGTCCCTCTTCAAGGCCCTTCGGTCTCCTTAATGGGCAAATTCGACGCACTTCAAATGCTCGGCGCGTTCCTTCCATTAATTCCATTATCATTTCCATTCACCAATTACAAACTCTTAATGACTTTTCGTTCCATTTGCTTTCTCTAAGTAGTGGTAGTTTCAATTAAACAAGCGGTGTTGATTTAAGGGCAAACACGTCATTGTGACATTACGACCCAAAAAGAAAAAAACCGAACAAACACGTCGGGGATGGTGGGAGTATGTACTTGTTGTCTAGTACTCCCATGACATTCTTGGGAGTCTCTATATATGTCAAACCAAATTGTTGCAGATGCATTAGTAAGGAATTGAAGTGGCTTTTCTTGAATATCTGTTCCTAAATAATTATTCCCCTGATTTCAATTAAATTTCCCTTTTATGTTCATGGCCCTCAGCATTGGTGCACAAAGAGTAAAGAATGCATGCATTTCCTTTGCAAAGCAATGCGAGAAGAGCCCCGATCGGTGAGTTTTTTCTCCAGCCATTGACTCATCTTTTCCTAGAAATGAGTAAACAATTGCTTAAAAATGATGGCATATGGAACATGTTGAAATGAGGAACGATTTTGAAGTGTTATTTGATGATGCTTTGGTGACTACACAATATTTCTGTACAGATACATGAGGTGTCTTTTACAATTGAATCGTGAATACATCGATGTGAGGAACAAACTTCAAGCCTTGATAACTGTAAGTCCTATTTTTACGTAGTCGAAATCTGTCTCGTGGGAACAATTTTCATTGGAAAAAAGAAGCTGTTATATTATCAGATAGAAAATGAAGAACGAACTTGATAATAATTGGGACATTGCATTTGATATCTCAATTGCAGCTTGAGAGGCAAATCTTGGCAGCGGGAGGCACTGTTCCGGTGTTGTCATGCACGCGTTGACTCGAACAAAGAGTTTCTCTTATGTTTCGTGACTTGAGTTTCTATAAGCCACGAAAAGTTAGTTTTTTTTTCTTTTTTGTGATAGATTATGGAAATGGGAGTGGAAGTAAAAAGAAGAGAATATAAATCATCAATATTATGGCTTGTAATATATGATGTTTTGTTCCCTCAAGTTTGGATCTCTCTTTAAGATGATTTACTTCTACTCCCATTTCTGTTTGTGGCCATATTAAGAGCACTGTGATGGACTCGTTTGATTCCCATATTTACATTTATCACAACGTAATCTTCTTCGTGATTCTATTTTGTGACCATATTTTATTACCACAAACCAGCTGCATTTGATCATCATCTCATAGACACATAGTTATGATGATGTTAAATCATGTTTCTAATGCAAACATGACATTATATGTTGTCAAATCAAATTGATTCTTGGCATTTTCATTTTGTTTTAACATCATACATAGACATGTTAGTAAGTATTATTTGGTGTCATGTTTGCCCATAAACATTATCATCTTTGACATTGTCGTTTCGCCTGTCTTGTAAATGGGCGACATTGATTTGTTTAGTGGATTAGTGCAAATTTTTTAAAAATGAATTTTGATGATAAAAACATGAAAATCTTATTTGTGTTTTTTTCTTAAATTTTACTCATATTTTAGACTTTGGGCTAAAAAAAATTCCAAACAAAAAATTTTAGAGCACTGGAAATACTCGTGAAGCCCCGGGGCTTCAAAATTTCTCTCTCTGCCATGTCAGCTTTAACTTATCTCACGGATTCAGTGGAAATGGGTTTGAAGCTCCAGGGGGCTTCAAACATGGGCTTCAAACCTTCATTTTTTACATTTTAAAAATATACATTTTCTAAAACTAAATTAATAAAATTTAATTATTTTATTATTTTAATTATATTGAAACAAGAATACTTAAAAAAATTACATTCATTAAATTAAAAAAAATTGAAGCGACAATAATTTAAAAAAATTACATTCATTAAATTAAAAAAAGAAAGTGATAATAATAAAAAAAAATATATTAATAAAAAAAACTACGGTAAATTATATTTGACATTGATCTCTTTTTGTTTTCTCTCGAAGATCATACGCTTGAAGGCCGATAACCTAGAAAGGTCGGTTTCAATTATTTCGATCTCGTCCTTCTCTTCCTTTCCTCTCGCCCTCTCTTCTTCTCGAATATTGAACACCCGAAGTTGTTCAACCATTGCCCGACCGATATCGTCGTGAGAAAAACGGAAATAGAGTCCGGACCCTCCAAAACCCGAGGCAATGAGGTCCTCGTCATCGGAATCTGTAACGTTGAAGGGAGGCCTTTGTTCAGATGAACCGATAGTGTCATTGACCTCAACCTCGGCGTCGACGGAGGATCTTTTCTTTGACGATCCACCGTTGGAATTGTTGAGTTGTTTCCACTTCGGTGAACGACTCAAAATCCTCCAAAGATCGATGGGCACCTTGTCTTGGTGCCCGTCATCTTGATATCGGACCGTGGCAAGCCAGAGAGCATCGACACCGTTCGTCCCGCTCCTCTAGGACCGGGCGTATTCCTCGTAAACTTCGATAAACTTTCAGACTTTACGGTTGATGTGGCTCCATTTGGAAGTGAGTTGGTCCCGGGTACGGTAGGAACCGTCCTTGTTCATCCCCGTAAAGAACTTCTCATCGATACGATCACACATCACATCATTCGTTTGCTCCGAACCTTTAAAAAAGTATAACACGAATTTTTTTAACACAAATATATAACACGATTATATAAATAAAAATATAAATATATTAGAAAACATATAATTTTTACCAATGATGGGATGCTCGGAGACGTCAACCCAAGCTGACGCCAACAAACACTCTTCCTCCGGCATCAATTTTTGGACTGACTGTGCCGCCTCGATCATCGCTTGAGTGCCTTTCGCTTTGTGGCTTTTCCGGCGTGCACTTTTTTTTGGTGCCGGATGGTTACGGTTGAGTCTCTAGAACCGACTCTCGCTCATAGACGTACCCCGATGGTTGCGTCTCGAACATCGACGGATTACTCACGTATTGTTGGAAGATCCACAAGGCGTGCTCGTTAGGCTCGAGATTGTCGGGGAAAAAGCCGGAGCCGGAGGAATTCAAGTTGAAAAGAGAGTTAGAGAATTGAGAATTGAAGAAGATGTGAAGAAGATTGATGAGAATTGGAGATTGAAAAGTGTGAGAATTGAAAGAGATGGAGTTTGAAATTTATAAAAAAATTAAATTATTTTTTACTTGTAACGGCTAATTTAGTCGTTGAAGGGGAGGACGCAGCATCAAACATCTGACGGCGAGTGAATGAGGCCCGTTTGACACCTTGGGGGGCGGTGTTTAACGCCTCCGCCTTTAAAAGTAGGGTTGACGCCACCGGCTTCGCACCCGTTTCCGTTGCCCTTACTCCATTAGGAATTCAATGGGCGTGGTAATTTAAAGAAAAGGCAAACCGTAATTTCTAATTGTTGGTCTTAAAGCTTGACTTTTTTTTAAAGGAGACTTAAGCTTGACTTGGTAAAAAGGAAAACCGTGATATACAAAAGCATTGCTTCCGTTTCCTGAGTATATTGACTTTTTATACTTAAAACTTATAAATTTGATCATTAATTGAATAAAATTTATATTAGATATTCATACAAAAATAAAATTATTAAGTTTATCTTATAAAATTTTTTCAAAATCTTGCTTTATCTAATTAAAATACTCTATAAATTTTATTTTATTAAAAATCGAAAAAATTTTGTAATAATTGAAACTAGACAAATACTTAGAGTGAAAAGTATTACTCCGTGTTACTCCCTCCGTCCAAATATATTTTTTCTATTTGACGTTTCACGGTTTCTAATGCTATACTTTGACCACTACTATGTACGGAATATATTTTTTCATACATGCATTTTATAAACATTTGATATAATGTATTATTTCCATATATCGTAGTTAAATTTCACAAACTTTAAACTAGAAAATTCAAATGAAAAGAACATTACCAAATTAATTAAGGGGTAAGTGTGTTAGTAAAGTTAAAATTAGTTCAGTAATTTCAACTTCTTTTTACTCCCTCTGCTAAATTGGAAAAGGTTGATGATGATGGTGGGGTTGGGGGCGATGAAGTTTGGGTTTCTCTTCACTATTTTTCTGCCTTCCGTTTTCTTTGCGAGCCCGCTCCTTGACCCGCCTGATTATTTGTCTCTGCAAATGATTCAGAAAAATTTGTCGGGCTCCGATTTCTTCGTTAATTGGAATTTTAATGTCGGAGACCTCTGCAATTTCAATGGCGTTTCTTGCTCCGAGGATCAGACTGAGGTTTATAAGCTGTACCTTGGGCCCTATTTGTCGGGTCGGCTTGACCCGCCTTTTCTTATCCTTCCCTCTCTTTCTGAGCTTGCCGTGGATCCCGGCAATATCTCCGGCTCCCCGCTGGACTGGCTCTCGTCGCCGCTCACCAACTTATCCAGCCTCACGCTGCTCTCCATCACAGGGAATCGTTTCTCCGGCGGGATTCCGCCCTCTATTGCGAGTCTCCGCAACCTGCGGAAGCTCGATCTCAGCTGCAACCGCCTCACCGGAAGTATCCCTTGGCAAATCGGAGGCCTCCCGGCGTTAACCAGCCTCGTTCTCAGCGGAAACCGTCTATCCGGCTCCGTCCCTGTTTTTTACTCCCCGAATCTGTTGACCGTCGACCTCAATGACAACTACCTCTCCGGCCCTCTCCCGTCGAACGCGTTCCCTCCGTCGCTGAACTCCCTCTCGCTGCCGCGTAACCGGTTGACGTCCACCGTGCACCAGGCGTTATCCGGTTTGAACAACCTGACATTTCTCGATCTCGGCTTCAACGACTTCTCCGGCTACATTCCGGCCAACCTCTTCTGTCCTCCCATGGAAACGCTCCTCCTCGACGGGAACCGGTTCGCCGGGAGCCTACCGCAGTCGCCGGCGTGTGCAGTGAATATCGCCACCGTTGACCTCAGCTACAACCGTTTGAGCGGGAAAATACCGCCCTGTTTTTCCGCGGCGAAGAGTTTGGCAATGAACAATAACCGGTTCACGGGTGAGATCCCGGGCGAGTTCGTGGACCGGGTTCTCTCGTCGGAAATGAAGCGTCTCTTCTTGCAGCACAACTCGCTGACCGGAATCAAGGTCAACCAGACGGCCGCCGCCGATTTCCAGGCGAAAGGAAGCGTGTGTTTGGAAGGAAATCCTATTGTGACGCCTCCGCCGGTAATTGACGATGCTTGCACCTCCGAACCGAACCCCGGCCGCCAAAGGAGGCCCACAGAGCTGTGCCAAGTTCCAAACCAGTGACACTCAACATGGTCAAAATCAAGATGCGGGAAAGTGCCAAAATTTAAATTCTTCAATAATTCATCAATTGATTCATAAATTATGTGCGTGCGCGCACACACACATATGTATGTATGTATGTGTATAAATGTTTACGGGTCTGTTTGAGAATAGCTTTAGCGACTGGCGTTAGCGCTTTGAAAAGACTATCTACAGATAGTGTTTAGCGTTAGCGTTTTTAAACTGCACCGTTAACATTTTATCTAAAACGCTAACGTTAATCTCTAGCGATATTTCCTCTTTTATCACGAAATAAAATTCTCACTTCTTTTGGTTCGAGTTGAACCAAACTTTGACCTTTTACCTATAGAAGGAACGAATGAGCCATATAGGCGCCCTAGTGCGTGATTTGTAAAATCATAGTGCGAGTACTAAGATGCACGCGTCTTAGAGCGATCTTGGGGTGGATCTGAGTATTGGGTATCCCTGAGGGTCTCTCTAGCATGGTCCGAACAATATTCCCTAGAGGAAACAAATGAAACTCTGATTTCAATTCAACCTTAGAGAGAAAAAAGAAATTTTAAGTTCATATACATTTATTGGACTCCCTTGTTCTAAAAGGTGAAATCTACGAGAGCCCATTTCTCCTTCAAACGATCCACGACACGCTCGTCCATAATGATAAGCGAGCGTCAACAAAATGACGAAGAGAAACAAAAGATTACAAGACGAGAAGGAAACATTAACGCTATATTAGGTTTTTGGAATTAGAAAGAAAAGAAAATAAAAGTGGCCCCAATTGAACCATGGTCACTCAGTGACTCTTCTAAATAGAAGGTTCTGGTGTTTATTTGTAGTAGAGGTAGTAATTACTCTCGATGTTTTAAATAGGTTGAAAAATATACATTAACAAATACATCATATTATTATTGTAATAGAATTTTTAATGTTAAAAAAATTCTAGAGCCACACATACTTTAGTCCAAACTATACAAATTTGTCAATTATATATTAAAGCTTTTATTTTTTAATTATTTGAAATATTTTATTTTCACTTAATTACTCTAATGCACAAATGACTAATTTGTATAGTCTCTTGTCAAGATACTCGTGTCCCCAGTAAGGAGTATAACTTTTTTATATATTTATAAATTTTTGAAGGAAACGTAGTGTAATGGCCACGGAGGAAGAAAAAATGGTAGCAATTCTCTTGTAGGCGTCATTTACAATAAATTATCCCATCATATCCCTAGATTCCATACTGCTTGCTGCGTTCTCGCCACGGTACGCTCATTGGAGTAATAGTTTGTGAAATTTACATTAAATAAGACTAAAACATAAGTCATTTTTCAAATTATGACTTAAATTTTTTTATTTCCTAAATAAGATTTAATAATGTTTAGTGGAAGGAATAATGTCCGGTAATGATGGACATTTACTTGAATAATGACTAATTGATAATGACTAAATGTCATACATTAGAAAATAAGAACATACGATCCTATATCAGGAAAGTCATTATGTTTTAGTCATATTTAGATAAATTTCTCTAATAAATATTATCTCCCCTCCCCCTAAAATACGGAGTAGTATAATTCCATCTCCCTTGAAAAGATTGTTATAGTTTGACCCTTTTTTATCAAACTTTGACACGCTTTAACTGTGAACTATGAAAAAAAAATATTTAGTTATAATGTAAATTTAGTAAAATTAAATTTATTTTAAAATATAGTCTTCAAACATTAAATTTTTATAATATTTAATTATTTAAATTATATTTAGTTCGGTTCAAAAGATGTCATAGTTTGTCAAAAAAGTTAAATTGTAACAATCTTATACGTATGTGTTAGAGTGCATCCCACATCGGAAGTCCAAGAGTAAGATAATTCGGTATATAAGCTCTTGAGTTAAACTAACTAATCGATTAGATTCAATCTTTTAATGTGGTTCAGCCCAAGTATCTTATAGCCCAATCCAGTTGTCCATACACATCCTAAATTCTATCAATATGACAAAAGTAATACTTATGGTCATGTCTGTTTATTCTTGAATTTACTATTTTTATTTACGATAGGAGTATACCCTATTATATTGTACCGATCACTACTGATTGAGTAATCTATTATTGTACTTAATCTGTCCGTTCGATATTAAATGGTCCTAACCAGTTAAGCTGTTCTAGACCGGGCACATTTCTAGGTGGTGCGAGGTGATTGTCTCTGTTTTCTAATGACCTTGTCATCTAGTTAGGAAGGTGACTTCTTTGTCACGTAGTATTTTGGATGGATTGCTCAAATACCTTTAATGATCTCTCGTTAAATTGGACCGCTACAGTCCAATTTCTTTTAGATTCTTTTTTGACGACACTTTCCAACCCTATAAATCATACCGGGTAGATTTCCAAGGGATGAGTTTATTGAAATTGGGGATGAATGAGGGAGTAAAGTATCTTGACCGGTAGACTATCCGAAGTGTACCGGTCAACTTTCTCGTCAACAGAATACCCTCTTACTGTTGTTCCAGGCTTCCCGTCCCAAAAAAATCAATCTTGACCGGTTAATAATTTGAAAGTATTCCTTTGACTGGTTCTGGGTTGAACACACTCATCAGAAGTTGTTTTACAAATTATTTTATATAACAAATGATGTAGAATTAAAAAATAATAATTACATACGAGTATTTAAAAATTACACCAAAAGATCTGAGAGAGTAATCTGGAATTTAATATGCGAAGAAAATGGACGAGTTGACTCAATATTGGGCAAGTACATCACAATTATAACATGATAAACTCTAGATAAACTTCCTAGGTGAATTTAAGAAATCATAGACATTCTCAAAAAGAAGTAAATGAGTCTTGATGGGCAATAAACCATTGATTTCACCCGGTAGGTTTGCAACCGACCAGAAAGAACCTAAATCTGATGCCCCATGACTTGATCGACCCGGGTAGTCTGACCGGTTGGGTATGAGAAGATTCAGAATCAAGAACATGGCTTCGTCTGAAAAAGGTTTGTGTGCTGACCGGTTGAAGACTAACCAGCCTGAAGAACGGAGACGTGTTTAACATGCTTAGTCATTATTATAAATAGGACTAAAAGCCTCATTTGTGAGGCATGCTTTAATTAATCCATACGACTTGTACTTTGTAAAAGGTTCTATTATCATTAATAACAAACCGGGTTACAAGTGTTTCCACCTATAGCCCTTCCGCTTATTCAGACTTAGTACTCACGTTGGTTTTGCACCATCAAGTCTCATCTTCGAGTGTTCCTTGAGACTGCTCAAACGATCACTCTGTGAAGGTAAATTAAAATTGCATCGCAGATTATTTACAGGGAATGAAATCTGCACCTAATACTTGTATTAGACTATATTTTTTAAAATATTTTTTAATTTTTTCCAACTCATTATAATTTCTTACAAGAAACACATGGCTTAAGTCAAACATTAGAGCCTAAGTCAATTTAGCTCAAAGTACCTCGTCCTCGCTCATCCATTTTTCGAGTAACCCATAATTTCAGTCGTCTCTCTTGAACCATATTCAACCCCATCCTCAAGAAATCCGGAAAATTTCGCTCTTACTTCTGAACCTCTGTATCACTTTGCTTTCCTTTGAAGCAATCCACCAATTCAATCTATATGGTCATCCTTATTTTGTTTTGTTCTGTTCTAAACTTGTTTGAGTGGTACGATGATGAGGTCCATAGCTTTTCTTGTAGCTCTTCTAATTCACCCATGTTTCTTCCCTTCGTCCGATCTTGCAAACGCCACTCTTGACCCGAATGATTATACGGCTCTGCAAGCAATTCGGAACGGATTGAAAGATTTGCCCGGCTCCGATTTCTTCGCTTCTTGGAATTTTACATCCGACCCCTGTAATTTCGCCGGAGTCAACTGCGCCGGCGGGGATAAGGTTCTTGGGTTGAGCCTCGGCGAGGACAGGGCCGGATCGCCCGGCTTGACGGGTCGGATTGACCGGGCGATTGGGAATTTATCTGCTCTGTCTGCGTTCGCGGTGTTTCCCGGGAAGATTTACGGTGCCCTGCCGGAGAGCCTCTCGCAGCTGAAGGGTCTCAGCTTTCTCGGGATCACCGGAAATTTCATCTCCGGGAATATTCCGGCGTCTCTCGGTCAGCTCCAGAATCTGAAGACGCTCGATCTCAGCTTTAATCAGCTCACCGGAACTATTCCTCCTCAAATCGGGGAATTGCAGGCGCTGCAGGGCGTCTTTCTGAGCCGCAACCGTCTGTCCGGTTCGGTCCCCGTTTTCATCTCGCAAAGCTTAAAACAGATCAGACTCGACCGTAACGACCTTTCCGGTTCTCTCCCGCCCAATGCTTTCCCTCCATCCCTAGAGCGCCTCTCTTTGTCGTTGAACCGGCTGTCCGGTCCAATCGGACCGGCCCTAACCGGTTTAACCAGACTGACCTACCTCGACCTTAGCTCCAACCGGTTCACCGGGGAAATTCCACCGGCCATTCTCTACTTCCCCATCACCGATCTCCAGCTCCAGAGAAATCAATTCTCCGGGAAGGTCTCGCCGGCGTCCGGTCAAGTGAATATCACCACCATCGACCTCAGCCATAACCAGTTGTACGGTAATATATCTCCCAGCTTGTCCACCGTACAAAATTTGTACGTCAACAGTAACCGCTTCACGGGGGTTGTCCCGGATGAATTCGTAACCCGGCTTTATTCCGGCGATATACGCATTCTATACTTGCAACATAACTTCTTGACCGGAATCAATATGAATCCGGTCGAGAATCCAGTTGCGCCGAGCTCACTTTTGTGCTTGGTGTACAATTGTATGGTTCCGCCGGTCCGGTCAACTTGCCCCGCGAACGCCGGGCAGCAGAAGTCGAGGCCTACGAACCAGTGCAAAGGCTGGAAAACGAAGGGTTGATGAGAGTGGGTACATTTCGTTTTTTTGTAACATAAAACAAAACTCATGAATGCATGCAGGTGCATGGTGGTGCTTTGCTCCTGTTCTTTATATGTCCATATTTGAGTTTTACTCCATATTTTTTTTATACTGCTTCGGTTTCTATATAAATTGTCTATTTCAGTGCATGAAAAATGAAGAAACAATAAGGTAAATTTTTATACTTCTTAGAAGAAACAATAAGGTAAATTAATCTTTTGCCAACCGGAAAGAAAAAAAGTTCAAATCATTTGATTAATTATAAAAGGTGGGGTTTCCGTAACACTGAATTTCAATGTCACATTCGCCCATTTTGAGGCACTTCTAATGCTACATTTGCAAAATTGATGATTCCTACCTTCTTACCACCACCTAAACTATTACCCCAACCCCACCCATGCCTCGCATAGGGGGATAGAATTCAGCAATTTTACAAACTGAGTACTGGAAATGCCCCAAAGTGACAGTGGCACCGAAGTGTCATCGTACTCCGGTGTTGATGGGTGTATTTCACCCATGACCGGTCAACGGTCAAGACCGGATAGTTGACCGGTCAAAGAAGTCAAACTTGCAAGAGAGGTCTAGATCGTCGGCGAAGGGATGACTGGTTGACCAAAAGGTTGACCGGTATGCTTAGGATAGTATACCGGTCAAACTATACCGGCGACTAATTCACCCTACAAGATGGTCACGCCAACCTGCAAGAACCAACCGGTGTAGTTCCTAGAGAATTGGGGAAGTGTCGGCAAAAGGAATCCGAAAGGACTTGGACTGTAGTGTTTGGAATTGCAGGGATGCTGAGGGAATATTTCCAAACCAGAACGCGACAAGGGTGCCACCCCCCGCGCAAGATGACAAGGCAGCTCAGAGCCAGTCACTTCACACCACGCCAGCAGCATGCCCCCACGTGGGCGCACGTGGTCCTGCTCCCCAGCCTAGTATATATACCTCTTGTAACCTTCGAGTGAGGGGATCGGAATTCACTCTCTCTAAACTCCCTTGTAAAAGCACCCGTGCATTCTCCGTTATAATATAAATTGGGCTACAGGTGTTCCACCTAAAGTCCTACCGGTCAATNAAAGGACTTGGACTGTAGTGTTTGGAATTGCAGGGATGCTGAGGGAATATTTCCAAACCAGAACGCGACAAGGGTGCCACCCCCCGCGCAAGATGACAAGGCAGCTCAGAGCCAGTCACTTCACACCACGCCAGCAGCATGCCCCCACGTGGGCGCACGTGGTCCTGCTCCCCAGCCTAGTATATATACCTCTTGTAACCTTCGAGTGAGGGGATCGGAATTCACTATCTCTAAACTCCCTTGTAAAAGTACCCGTGCATTCTCCGTTATAATATAAATTGGGCTACAGGTGTTCCACCTAAAGTCCTACCGGTCAATCTGCGTGTTTTTACCTTTCTTACTTTGCCAAATCAAGCAAACTATTCTAGACCCGGTCTAGTATAGTTTGACCGGTCAAGTAATTTACACTATCATTTTTGGCGCCGACCATGGGACCGTTAAGGTTTCTTCTCCTAAACACAAACCTACCCACCAAAACACCACTCGAAATGTCTTCCAGCCAACAAATCAACGCTACTTCCGCTCAGGTGCAGGCCACCAACGAGGGAGCCAGCATCCCTGTGGCTGCTACCATACCGGTGATTTCAGCCCCGGTGTTGCCCCTGGGTCTGAGCTCTGTCCCGACGGCCAGCGTGATCAGTCCCTTCGTGACCCCCGTCCCTTCCGCTGGACCGAGGGTAACGTTCCCACCAAGCATGACTCAGTTCATGAACGACCCAGCCAACCTACAAGCCATCCAGGGCTTTGGCCAGGTCATGGCCATGTGCCAACAGAACGGGGGGATGCCTTTCCTCCCTGGTATGTTCCCATTCGCCCCTCCAAGCGCGGGGACCATGCCCCTACAAGCTCCGATGGCGGTGACGTCGTTCCAGACGCCGATGCCGCAACCATCACCTTTCCAGCCCCAGCTGGTCAGCACCATGGCCCCTGTCAACTTGTCCAGTGCACTTAACGCTGCAGGGCCGTCGCGTCCCCCGCAAGCTACGGATCCGCAGATCACTCCTGATGGTCATTGTGTCTCAATTGAGAGCGATGACGGCGAGTGGGACATCCCGAGGGCCCACAAGAAGAAGAAAGGAAAAAACATCCGGCCAGCGACCTCCCGAAACTCCGCCTTCGAAAGGCTGGGGGATAGGGACGAAGGCCAGAGGAAGTCAGCCAAGCAAAGGCTGGGGCAGAGCGTTGCCCATGTCAGCGCATTCGCCTGGTTAGGCGAGGTGCGGGAGGCCAAGCCTGCACGCACCCGGCGCTCCCGGTCTAACCGGCAGGAGCCAGCGAGGACGAGGGCCTCCCACCAGGAAGGGGAGGCAGAAAGCCAGCCCAGGTTACCGGTGGCGAACCGGTTAACCATCCCAAACGACCGCGTCCAGCAGATGGAGGCAAAGCTGGAAAGGCTGGAAAAGAAGGTCGGGGAGAAGAATGACCGGGACAAACCCCTGGCAGGGTCCCCGTTCACCACAAGGGTCCATCTGACACCTTTCCCGCGAAAGGTCAAGATCGACGCCCCCAGATTCACCGGGAAGGAAGATCCGGA